ATAATATTGAGCTGTAATCAATATGATATTTGAGATTGTAAAGCACTTAGGTTACTCACAAACAGACCAAACTTGATTAAACACTTTAATTACAACAAAATGAAAATATAAAAATAATCTTATTTGACCCATTTCACGTTGTTTTCAACATGACACTATTTATTAGAATGAATGCAAACTCTCAGACATACAGCAGATAGCAGGCCTGGTCATTTCACAAGCCTTAACATAAAGACACAGAAGAGAAAGAAAACAGCTGTGTTTGAATAAAAAAATAAAATAAAAATAAAATGAAATTGTAACACGTCACACCGCTGAACAACATCATTTTTAAAGACACATTGGCAAATCCTGTACTGATGATGAGCTACAGTAGATGGCCACAAAATGTTTACAGGTTCATAAATATAGTTTGAATACATTTTCTGTAGAGCTAAAGTCATTGCATTTATTTTGAATATACAGAGTACATAATATGAAAAATACCTTTGTGACCCCCAGTGCACAGCAGTTTGGTCTTTAATTACAGGTTTTAATGAGCTGGAAGAAGCTCCATGAAGCTGAAAACTGAGGGAACAGAAAACAGTGCTGCACTTTGTAAATAAGCATTATTAATTATATTTAAAAAATTAAAAAGAAATGATATGACACACTTATGAATACGTACATCCACAGCGGCAAGAATTCAATACACAAATAATAAAATAAACATAAAAAGGTACCCAACGTTGCACCACACAAATGCTTTCAGTTATGACTTCTGATTTTTGTCAGAGCTACTGATTCCAAAAAACTGATACAATGATGCAATATAAGGTGAAACGTGGAGTTAATTTCATCTTCAACAAAAGCATAAAATGAGTTAAAATCGTCACAAACACAAGAAATCCGCCTGCAATCACTTTTGAAGCCATTTCCTGGTATGAGACCAGCTCACACCGTCACTCAGTCCTGCAGCACTTCAACCAGCAGTGCTCACGTGGGGGTGGAAGGTTATTCAGATTAAATACAGTAATATGGGGTTAGTTTAAAGATTACATGATTACTATGAGAACAAAATGTTAGTATTAAACTCATCAGTACAATCCTCACTATATACAAASTACCACTCAAACAGACCTTCAGTAGATGTCGATAAAACTTTGATTAAACTCAGAAACCCTGTTTAAACCTTAGTACTGTCTGTCATCTCTCTAGGTGACAATTTCATAGAGAATTAAGGCTTTAGATGTTCATAAAGTGCTCTGTATGACCAAACCTTCACAGCTACAGTGGATATGAAAGGTTTACACACCCCTGTTAAATTCCAGGTGTTTGTGATGTAAAACAAAAATGAGACCAAGATAAAATGCGAGCTATGATCTGTACAAGTGAATTGGAAAAAACTCAAGGTGGCTGCGGAAGTGTGCACACCCTTATATAACTCAGAGGTAACTAATCACATTCAAACTCGTTCAATTGGAGTCGGTACCTCCCATCATTTAAAGTGCCTCTGATTAACCCCAAAGGAAGTTCAACTGTTCTCYTACACTTTTCCTGACATTTTCTTCCTGCACCTTACAGCCATGATCCACAGAGAGCTTCCAAAGCATCAGAGGGATCTTATTGTTAAAATATATCCAAGGGTACAGAAGAATTTCCAAGGCATTAGACATACAGTACCATGGACAGGGTTCCTACGGCTTAAACCAAGTTAAATTTAAGACTTTTTAAGACCTCTTTAATGCCACTTGAAAATAAATTTAAGACCATGTGGTGGGGCTCTGTTATGACTTGGACAAAAATATAGGCCAATGCCATGACTCACTTAAGAGGGCATTTGTACTCGTCTTCATGTGAAAAAAGGGTGAAGCTGTACAGCATAATTACATTGGAAATCCAATCAGGTTTAAAATAAACCCAGTCAGTATTACCTCCAGTGTGACCTGTTAGGACTCTAAAGTCAGGCTGACTCCTTGTGGTCCAGAGCCCTCTTTTATACACACAGGCTCCGCCCACAAGAAGACAGAAAAAAAAAACAACCTCTCAATAATTCAAGTAAATTCTCATCAAAGTAACAATGTAAAAAATAATACAAATAAATAAACACTATAAGAAAAAGAAAAACAAAACTATAACCAAAATATAACTCTCCATTCATACGACGTCCCATTGACGTCACCATTACGTCGTCGCGTGACTCCTTCCTGGCTCACCATCACCRGGAAATAACTTATTTCTAATATCTGACTCAGGAAAATGTTTGACGTTAATATTTCAAACTAAGACGGACTAACTGAGGCAGGAACAGTGTGTGTGCACCCACAATGAACCGCTGAAACCTAAAGGTAAATTCTGTCGAGTGTCTGAATGTGTGTGTGTGTGTGTGTGTGTGTGTGTGTGTGTGTG